CATATTTGCCAGATATTGCTCCCAGTGATTATCATCTTTTTCGGAGTTTGCAGAATTTTTTAAAAGGAAAAACTTTTGAGGATGAGAACAATGTAAAAAAGGCTATTTCTGAATATTTTGATTCAAAACCGAAATCATTTTACAAAGACGGGATTAAAAAGCTACCATCAAGATGGCAAGAAATTGTACAAAATAATGGTGAATACATTATAGATTGAAATAAGATTTAATTAAAATTTTTTGTTGCTTTTTTTGTAGATAAAAATGCGCACGAACTTATGGACTGACCTGATATTTAGAATAACATTTTCAAAGTTATTTGTATTTGCTCAATAATTTACAAGAATCTGAATATATTCTATTTGAAATATTGTACTAAATTCCATAAAAATTCAATTATGAATTAATTCATTCAAATATTTGAATAACAAAAAACTTTTAAAAATTCTTAGGTGTTGAAATATATTTATTTTATTAAAGTTCAGTCAAGGATCTAACAAAGTCCTTTCCTGTCTCTATTAATTATATATTTTTCTACACAATTCTTCTCAAACAGCTTCAGAATTTTTAATCTAAATACTGTAAGACTGATTTCTTTAAAGTAAGTATGCTTTTGTATTTTTAATTAATACACAGAACTGTTTATTATATCATGATTATTATTCTGAATTTCTATTATTGTTAAATAAAAATATGTATCCTTTCATAATAATAATAATAAGAATAATATTTCTAGGAGAATGATTATTCAATTCAAGGAAGTTGGATGTCTGGAAGTTCAATTTTATTGAGGGTACAAACCTATCACTTCACAAGTGATTGAAAATATTATCACAGCTGTTGTTAAACAGTCAATGAATAATGTTGCAGGCTCCAATAAAGCATATGAAGTATCACAACAGTTGTGTGTATCCTATAGTAATTAATAAGAAAGTATTGAGAAAGTTGGTGCATTGTTATCCATATAAAATCAGCAAATAGCAGTTGCTTGCTGCCAAGAGAAAATTCCAACTGATCTTTCTTGCCAGAATGGAAGTGGATGGGTTATGCCAGGGAAGATCCTGTGAAGTGATAAGGCATTTTTCATCTCAGTAAAATAGTCAAACCCATTACTGTCACATTTGGCCATGTTTTACAGCAGATTTCACTGCACTTATCTAAAGTCAGTCAGATATGAATTCACAACCACACTTAGCTTAGGATCATTTTTCTTTAAAGAAGCTAGTCCCAATGGTGTGGCCGGATGGCTGAGCAGTTTAGGTGGCAGCCTACCACTCTGGGGGACCCGGGATCAAATCCAGACAGGTTGAAAAATTCCCAAGAATTTTTCAGGGGATGGTCTGGCCAAACCCATAATGGGCTTGCTAAAAGAGGCCCTCTTAGTGCCCAGAGACTGAAAAGAATTAAAAAAAAAAGGTTCCAATGGTTCTGTAACATGCTCTGTAACAGTCCAGAAATACTGAAAGATATTCAACACCCAATTACATTGTTGTACAATTACATTTGTTGTAACCCAATTACATCAGCAACAATGTCTTGAGTCAATCACTTTCTTACAAGATTGAGTGCCTCCACATATCAGACATTGCATTCAATAGTTTCTTTGATAACATTTCAAATAAAGTGATTAGTCATGCATTTCCTACTTCTTGGCTATCTTGTTTTCTGAATCTTAATCTATGTAATTTTTGATTGTGGAGACACTAAAAAGTACAGTTTATTGAGAACATATTGCAAATTTTGTAGCATTAAAAGACAGTATCACACTGCATGTGAGAAGCATCACAGAGGGTCAATTAGATCAACTGTTGAACACATTGTTCTCTGCCTTCTGGTTTACATTAACCTTCAGAATGGAGACTTATTGAGCAATATTCCTGCATCTTTAAGACCATTGTAAAGCATGAGTATCTTGCACAAATAAAATGTTTGTTAATTAATAAATTTAATTTAATAAATAATAATGACCATAGAAATAACTTTGGATCAATTTAAATCTTTTATCTTTTTTTAAATTCCAACCAGAGATAGAGGGTAGACAACTTAAAGATAAAATACAATTCTTTATTACAATGACCAATGATATGACATTAAAACATGTACTTAATACACCTGATGCCAACCTTTTATTGTAGGATCCTGCGCCAACTACACACAGCACTAAAAGTTTTCACAATATCAATATGGTCACAGTTGTATTTAAATGATGAAAAATCCACTCTGGAGTCACGTACAAAAAAATGAATGGTATCTGATAACCATAACAAGTGTTTTCTGAAAATGTTTTGACCAACCCCCATACATTTGAATGTATGACTTTCTGCATATTTCTTGAATTATTTTCTCCAATAGTTTTTTCATATGATAATGCTTATGATTATTTTGTATAGTTTAAGGATTTTCAATCTGTAATGAGCTGACAATTACTTCATCAGAGCAGAAATAGAATTTTCCAGCTAATGTCTTATGCAATATAAATTTATCTTCAATCAATGTCTTATATTCTGTTAAAGCAAGAAAAGCTTTCATCAAACTGATTGGTAAAAATAGATTATAGTAAATTTCAGACATTTTAATATATGTTTTATTTAGTGACAGAGGTATATTATTTGGGTACATTATTTAGAACCTATCAAAATGTATTAAAAAAAATTGTAAACTAAATATGAAAACAGATTAAAATCATACTTCACCTGTTTTGGAAACTTATCTTTATAAGTTTCAAGTTTGGATGGTAAGTACAATGCAGAATTTTCTTCAGAATTATCTAAGTAAGGTAGTGCTGACTTTGTTTTCATTAGAGACTGAAAATATATAAACATATTTGTAAATTAACAAATAATTTATCTTAATAAATTCCAAATTAACTAAATACAAAACAGATATTAAAACATATGTCATTTAGATATGATTTTAGTATTAAAATAAAAATTAATTGTAGTTTGTGAAAATAGAAGAATTTTAAAATAATAAACTTTATTAATAATATCAGATGAACATGAAATGGTACAGTTAATATTTCAATAATTCAAAAATGAAATGTGTTTTTTTATTTTTATTTTATTTTACTTTCCACAATCTGTTTTCAAGTTATGAAATTTCATATGAAATAATATTTTGAAGGAAGTAATTATAAAATGCATAGAAGATACAAAATGTTTTCATAAATCATCTTCATAATCATCAGCAACAAACAATCCTCACATACAGATATGGCCGTTAATGGAAGCTATGCCTCTGGAAAAATGCAAATTGGTTAAAATGTCCACTGGTGACAATTTTGTAATTAAAAACAAATAGTTAATTAAAATTGGCCAATGATATTTACACTTTAAAATCATAAAATACAAAAAAGGTATAAAATGACTTCATAATCATCAGCAACTTCCATGCATTTTATATTTTTAAAATGTACTTACCGTCAGCCAATTATAATCAAATATTTATCTTTGTTATTATGATACCAGGTTATCACAGTTTGATCAGTGATTATTGTTTGTTTAATTATTTAAATATTGTATGTCTAATTATTTGAATTTTGTGGGATGCTTCTGATGGTTGATGGTGTGAGGATCAAGGCACAATTTTGCATAACATTAAGAAAAATCTTAACCCTATTTCTCCATTGCGATCATAAAAAAACATCGCACAAGAAACGGATTGAATATCACCTGTACTATCAACAACCAAGCTGAGAAATATAACATCCAAGTACTAAATGATAAACAACCCAGTGTTAAAGGAGGAGAAAGTCAATTGTCAACTTGGAAAAAAAAGCCTACAAGACGAACCAAATAGGGTCAAGACAGCTGTTGTAAGGAACCAAGTCCGAGCTTTATTTTTATTTTACTTTTATTTTGCTTTTATTATATTTTTGTTTGGGGCTTATGTTCAGTTAGGACGAAGGTTTCCTCACCCATCACTCCAGAACGTGCAAAACGAGAAGATAAGAGATTAACCAACTCACCGACGACGAAACGACAGCGCCATAGCTAGCATTTGCACTCACGTGCATGCCCGAGCGGCAGAATTGTAAGTCCGCACTGAAGGGGGGACACCCCAATAGATTTTCTAGGAACTTGTGTAACCTTCAACTAAACATCCCGATGATTGTTAAAGATATGTTGTAAAAGGTTAACAAAGTATTGTCGAGAAATAAACTACCAGATAACGAAGAGAAAACAAAAATGTTACGTGTAGATATGTAAATGAGGGGAGTGTCTCAATTAGAACTGTGATGTCACCTCAGACTATAAGTACAGTAGCTCAAGTGAAGACAGACGAGGTGAGCTCCTGAACCAAAAGCGTTGGTCTGCTGGTAGCAGTGAACAAGGTGTCGAATAGGAAATCCTAGTAGGAGATTGAAGGTTCGATTTTGATGATTTGAAAATAGGAAAGTCTTGAGTAGAAGAAAAGGTTCCGAGTATTAATTGAGGTGACGGTTAGGACTGATAGTTATAAGAGAATTTGTAACTAAGTTAAAAATTGGATTTTGTTTTGTCGGAATTCCAAGGGGAATAGTTCTAAGTTAGAATAAGACTTAAGTTTGTCGGGTTGATTGTGATTTCATTTTTTTATTTAATAAATTTGTTGTTTGTTTATAAATCTTGTACATAGTATTTGTTAGACTTGATTAAACATTTATTATTGAGATTTTTTTTGTGACTAACTTTGTCCTTAATTTATTTCGGTGCACGCTAAAAGTCCAGGCCTGGCAACTAATAAACGCGAACCCGTGTAAAGTACCCGTTAGGTCCCGGCTCTTTAAGAAAAATTCGTTGTAGAGCAACAAACTAAATATAGTACTTTACACTGCATATAATGACAATTTTACATCATCAATGGCTCACCTCTGACCACACACCTGCAGATGCATCACCAAACAGTCAATCACCTGACTTTTTTCCCAAGCTAAATTGATAAAAGAGAGGCTAAAACTCCAGTTGAGGTGGACCAGCCTGGACAGCTATACACTGGCGACAGCCACCCAGTTCCCAGCTGTCCATCTTGTGATCCCCAGAATGGCGATCACAAGACGGACTCCACGAATGAAGGAGAAGACTTCTGTCACATCATATCTGGAACAGTATAAAGTGGACTTTCCCATAGAAGATGAATCGCCTTATAAGAAAGGAAGACATTGATCACAGCTCAACCACCACAAAGACAGAGAACTACATCTCTCTCTGAGGTAATTCTGTAAAAGCTCTCTCTCAAGAGTGAATAGCAAATAGAACGTGAACAGAGTATTAGATATTTTCTCGTGTTGCCTTATAAGTAAATTCCATATTTCTCTAGATGTATATACTGTATTTCTGCATATCTTTAGATTTAGACGTTTATATTAAACTTATATTTTTATTCATTAACCTGGCTACCTGTCTCTATCAAACCTTGGACACTTATCGACTTACTCACTAACCTCCCCACTTGATAATTTAGACCCTCCTATTCAACTTTGTTTACAATTCGTGGGTTAGGATGCATTTAACTTTATCCTTACTGGTGTCAGCATCCAGACGTTGGTCAGATCTTGCAATCCCGCCGACAATTTATCAAAGTGCCATCCAATGACGAGATGGGTTTTACCAACCTGTGACTGGTCAAGAGTTAGTGATCCCCATTGTGAGATTAGGCCCAGGTATACCTGGGCCTAATCTCACAATGGTGTTGGTGCGAATAAAAGTGTACATTTCTGATTTCAGTTAAATGCTGAGTCTAAGATAGCAAGGAGGCAAATACACGTATTTCTAATGATAATACTTTGGTTTCTACTGATAATAGTTGGTGTAGAACAAAATCCGAGACCTTTCTCTCATTCCCTGTCAAAAAGAGGATGACCACCTTTAACAAGAAGTAGCAATACAGTTAAAGTACCAATAACAAAGTCTACTAATATAGATACAATATTCAAAGCCAAAATTGATATACTAGAACAGAAAGTTAATAAATTAGAAATGCTATTACCAGATATCGCTAGGTGATTGGAAGTACAATAGTACATTGCAAATAATTTATTAAATTTATCTAACCAACATAACTTAGTAATATTTGGTTATCTCATGACAGATAATGTGAATATTAGAGAAACTCTCATAAAAAATAAATGAATTATATTTTATAAGAAAGATAGACCCTTCTATTAAGCTCAATCCCAAGAAAAAATCAAATATTGTCAGCTTTTCATAATTATAAAAAAAGGACTCAATCAGTTTTTCAAGAATCTATCAATGAGTACTGATTTGACTCAAGAAACAAAAGCACGAAAGAAAAAATTTTACCTTTTTATATAGAGGCAAAAAAGAAAGGGTTAAATAATAAATCTAATGTTAAAGTTATCTGTTGGAATATGCAGGGTGCAAGAAATAAGATTTTTTCAATTTATTTTAAAAATTTTTAATGGGATATGATATTCTTGGTTTAGAAGATACTTGGATAACTAGATTTACTGAAACAGAAACTGTGCTCCTGAAAAGTTTACATAATTATATTTTGATCCAAGCATCTAAAAACCTAGTGTGAGTAGACCAAAGAGCAGTATGTTACTATTAATAAGAAAAACTTTGAAAGAAATTTTTTACTCTCATTGATGTTCGTATTTGATATTTGCTATGGTCAAACTTGACAGAAGTAATTTTAGAATGTTTCTAATTAGTTATCTGGCAATAGCTGTGAACTATATGCTGCCATACAAAAATATTCCAAATCTTTTTTATGAATTGGAGAAGATTATGGAGAGCTGGTTATATTTTACTTCTTCTTGGTTAATAATTAATGATTTTAATGCTAGAATAGGAAATGAATGTGACAAATTATTATGGGAATAACTCAGCTGTCTACAAGAAAAGAATGAGTCATGACTCTGGAACTAATAACAAGGAAAAATTACTGTTAAATTTTGTTCAAAATTATAATTTGTTTGTCTTAAATGGGTGCTTTGTTGGCGATTTCCTGAATTGTTATACTCATATCTTCCATGAGGGAGCTTTGGTAATTGACTATGTTATATGTTCAAAATTTTTGTTGGCACTATTGTACTAAATTTGAGTTTTCTGATGTTGATGTGTCTGATCATTTTCCTATTCAGTCAACAATAGAATGATGCTTAAATAATTCATCCTTTGACAAAAAACATGTTTAATAGTATATTGGATCAGGAAAGAATAGTCTACTAAACTCAAAATATTATCCATGGTATGCAAATAATTTAAATTTCCCACCATCAAGTAGTTTTATTAACTTCCAAATTCCAAGATTAAGAAGTTTTACATGCATTTAAGATTATACCATTTTTACATATTAGTGGACAGATTATATTTGGATATTAATCATCGTTTGTGTAAATTATGTTTACCATCAAATCTGGTTATGATCAGGCAATGAAAAGCTTAGAATACAATTTGGAATTTTTACATTGTCATACTGTAAATTGAAGGAGAAATTTTATGGAGATCTATTTCATATGGATCCTGTTATGATATTCTTATAAATAATTGAAACAATTTTAAAATAAATGTAAGACTGTATAATTTCTTCACCAAATACACTACCCTGCAAGATCAGTGAAGAAACCAATGATATGATCTGTTTGGCAATAGATAGCCACCCTTTATATAATCAAGAAAGTTTTTATATATTTTCACAGAGTCAAATTATAATTTATAGATTTCTTTATGTTTGTTGTGACTCTATTTAGAGTTTCCCTTGTAACAGGATTAATTCCTAAATATGCTAATAAATGTTTTTATTTGATTTGATTATTTGAATTTTGTATATTGTTTATTCATTTAATGTCATTTTATTT